ATCTCTCACATGTTACAAACCATGGTTCTAACCGAGGGTGGTTTTCTGGTGATGATGATTTCGAAGTGGTAGAAGTGTTGGTAGTAGTAGTAGTAGTAGGAGGAGGAGGAGTAGTAGTAGTAGGAGTAGTAGTAGTAGGAGGAGTAGTAGGAGTAGTAGTAGTGGTAGTAGTAGTACTTAGTAGTAGAGGTTGTAGTAGTTGTAGTAGTTGATGATGATGATAAAGATTATGTTGGAAGATGATGTGAGCAGATGTCCTTTGGAAGAAACCCTTCGCAGGTGCTTTCGGGAAAAGGTGTTAAAACTAAGTCGAAAAAATGTCCAAAAAACATGTCAAAATTAGAAACACAAAAGTAAAGAAAAAGTCGTATCTGTGCAAATTGATTTTTTTGACTTTCTGAAACTTTCTGATTAGATTTATTTTTTGACTTTGACTTTTGGGACTGACTTTTTTTTGACTTTTTAGAAATTTTGAAAGCAGGCTCTCTCCAATGAAAGATTTTTATAAGACTTTATCCTTTCTATCAGACTGTGCTAAGCTCGATGCTGAATTGCAGCTTCCCACCGCCAAAACCTGCCGGCACTTCCTTCCTCGAATTCAAGAGCCGAACGCAAGGCAAACATCCGAACTTGCTTTTGTTAGACCTTTCTTCTTTAGACCTTTCTTCTGGTTTTTCCTTGTTTTTGGAAGACAGCTCGTATTGACATAATCAGCGCAAGGATAGAAGACTATACTTGCCCCAGTTGAGGGGCCCTAAAGACAAAGGGACCCCCCTGCCGGCTGTCAGTGCATTTGGAGATTGCTCGGCTTGCTTTGGTGTCCTGTCTGGCGGTGCCAATGCCAGGCGCTTATACAGACTTTCGGCCTTGGACTGTTTGATGATGCTCTTATACATATAGTAAAAAGAAGCTACCTGGGGCTCCTGGCATCGCTACTAGGAGCAGGACGCTACTATATATATATATATACACCTGTTCTTTCCTTCTTTAGACCTGTAGACTCACCCTTCTTCCTTTTCTTGTTGTTCTTTTTGTCTTTACTTCTTTCTTCCTTTCTTCCTTTTTTGGCTTCTTTTGGCGCAGGAGGCCAGTTCTTCTGGCTTCGTGCTGTCAGGGAGAAGATTGGTACAAAAAGGCCATCACCTACACTTCAACCTGTTCACTGATAACTGCACCAGGTGAGGAAATGTAAAAATGACTTTACAACAAACAAAGTGATGAAGGAACGAAGGCAACAGCTCTGTGGCAATGTCTAACAGAAAGAAGAGAATACAAAAATACCAATACAAATGTGTATATTGTATGTGTATATATATATATGTGTGTGTGTGTGTGTTTGTATTGACCATACAACATTGTACAACCGTCTTTCCGATGGATTTCTTCGCACGAGCACTGCGTGTGCTAGCCGACAAGCCTCCACCATCTTTAGCCTGACAACTGAAGAACCACAGCAGGCGCAAGGCACAGCATGGCGCAGGCACCGAATGCGTGTGTATCTCTATATGTATATATATAATTGCATCAGTACTGAGGAAAAAAGATACGGCAAATGAAAGGGCGAGACAAGCAGAGGCTTTCCAAAGGAATGCGCACGACAAAGTTCAACAGGATTGAGGCAATCGGCCAATCCACTTAATCGAATCGAGTCCAAACCACCCGCACATTTCGTGTCACAGGCTGATCATGACTGACAATTAAGTTTGGGTACTGGGTTTGCGCAGCAGAATTGCGGCTAAGTGGCTCCAGTCAGAAGCGAATTGAAGGACACCAGGTTTGGTTGCTGCGATGTCCTCAGTCCATGGCAATAGAATAACGTATATATATATATATATATATCTGGCAGCTGATGATTGGCCAAGTGAAGGGCTGTCGAAGCATCTCAAAGAGTTGCCTGGGCACTATCAGCGGGCAAGAGACACCCAATGCTCAGTGCTCTGTGGCATCAGTGTCATTCAGAGTCCGTCGAACACATCCGAGGAGCAAAGAACAATGCCATGCCAGTTGTCTTTGGGTTGTAGCAATCGCGGAGTTGCAGGTTCGAATGCTAAGATCCTCGAACAAAAAGCACTGGAGGCGAAAAGTCCAAAACCATTCCGACAGCAGAGTTGCGGCAGATTCTACATAGCCGAGCCTCTGCCGCTTTTGAATTCACCAGGAACTCCAGGCTCAAACGCCACCGGCAATCGCGCAGAGCTGCGATCGCTGATGTGGTTGCGAATGAGTCCATCTCCTCAGTTTTTCCATGTTTTTCCTCACCAAACGCCGAGTCATCACAATCCAAGTCTCTCCAAGGCACCACTCTTTCAGATGGAGAATCCCGTAGCAACAGCAAGCAGCTGCCCCACTGAGCTTTTGAACCTAGTGTGCCTCAAAAGCAGCTGGTCCCACATACTTGGCACGTGCGCGGCTCATTGCAAACTCAACCTGCACCTGCTCAATGCATACACTCCAGCTGAAAGGCGGTCAGGCTGCTCAACCCAGAATTTAGCGACACAATATCTTGGAGATCAAACCGTCGCGCCCACTGGGCAAGAATCCTCAAGAACAGCTTCCGGCCATAGGCGGCTCATGCTTGACGATTGGTAAAGTGGATAGGCTCCTTGTCCATGTGCAGCATTCAGCGGCAAATGATGCAAGCAAAATATTGTGGCTGACCTTGAGCAGCATTGTCACGAAGATCTAGTCTCCACCATTCAGTCCATCCACATGGCTGCAGCTTCGACACGGTCACAGGATGTTACAGGAACAAACAAATCTACCATAAGACAAGCATCGACATCCAATTGCATCCCCAAAGATTCCGAACGCACGTAGACGGACAAGGCTTCTTCCCACAGCATAGTGCCTCCCAAGCGTGGCAAATTATCACAGGAATTCACAGCATGACTGCGTTTATATAAACGGCTCTAGGTTTGAGTTCTGGAAGGCATTGAGTTTGAGCCCCTGAAAGTCGCGTAAGAACTTGAAGCCATGTGCTTGGCCCCGCACTTTTCATCGCTGTAGCCACTGCATTGGTGGTGTTGATCATTCGAGAACACTCGCCCCACAAAGCGGTCGCGAGCCGCCAGCGCTGGGGGGCAGTCTCAAGCGCTGCAACTGCGGCATTGTACCTTGCAAGTCGGTAGTAACAAGTGCATCGCTAGTAGTAACAAGTGCCTTACTTGTTACCAATCCTGTACATAATCTATATATTGTTTCTAATAGCTTCTTGTTACTGCTAGTAAGGCACTTGTTACTAGAAGCGATAAACTTGTTCCTAGTACTGTCCTTATTTGCCTTAGTGCAGTTAGGTCTCATAGGAGTACGGTCGATGTCAAGGTTTCTGCACTCGCCTTTGCCGAACGTGTCAGATAAAGTTCGCAGAGTCCCATCTCTAACTTCAATGCGCCCCGCCTCCCGTACGCAACCGCAATAAGGCCATAGCATCTCTCCACCATCCAACGGTGCCAAAGGCCCGAATGGCCAAAGCATAGTCCTCGCAGGAAACAGCCAGGAGCAGGATTCGCAGTTCAGAAGAGAAGAAAATTATTGTTCCTGTGGGGAGGTGAGCAACTCACTCCGCTGCAGCTGTGCCAGCGATCGTGCAATTTGCAGTGGCTTGAGTGTAGCCTCTTCGCCTTGTGCGTGCCAGAATGGCCCACACTCTACACTTGAGACACCCGCGCAAGAATACGACTGAGAACTGCTGCTGCCAGTCGCCTGCCGCTTCTTGTCCAAAACGCAGCTGCTGAAGCAGCCAAAACTTCTTGTGTCGCGATCTCCCAGTGGAGGCACGTAGCCTCCTCCCGAAATGTGCAAAATATCAATTGTATATATTGTAGATTTCAAAATTTTTCAGAATGGTTAGCAAAATTGACCCACGACAGGCCCCAAAAACTTAACCATTTGCAAAATCTCCTAAAATGATCCTAAATGGCACCCCAAATACAGAGGGCTGACTCTCGAAAGCCATTGCAAAATAAGCCATTGCAACTCAATTCCTGACATTTCTGCAGAGATCTTTGGTGTCAAATTCAGCATGGAAAACCTGAGAATGCCAAGCATGCTGCGGAAACGGGTTGGAGGAGTAGTTGGATCTCAGTCACATGTTTCTGCAAGTTGCACAAGAAAGAACAAGTGAACCACCCCACATAATACTTAGTGTCCATTGCTCTTTTGGAAATACCCTTCGCCGTTTCAGCTGACTCCGATGTACGGTAGTTGTTTGCAATCAAGGAATTTATGTTGTTGATTGGGCACTGCCAAGAGAATGCATTTTTTGTTGGGTGTTTGGCGGCCAGGAGCCAAAACATACTTATGTGCTAATATAAATAGAATAAAACTATGCCAGCATAGACCCCTTCCAATATTGGTGGATGTAAACAATGAATGTTACCGATAGAGAACATTAGAAAACAATTGTCTCTGATTGCCGAGGAGCATATGTCATGAGAAAATCCGAGGATGATATCAAACACTGACTGCATCACTGTTGCATTCATAGCCACACGAAGACATACCCGGACAAGGCGATGGAGAAAGGGAAAGCATGGACAAGCAGGCAGGGGATAAGGCCGTGACAAGGCGGTGATAAAAGGGCCTATATATACAACACAAACAACCAGGACAAACCCGGACAAGGCCTGGACAAAGCCCTCACAAGGAAGAAAGGCCCACGGCACCCAGCCCATGGCGCGGCCAAGCAGGACACATAGACATAGACCCGGACAAGGACCGGACGAGTGCACTAAACTGTTTGGGGGAACAGAGGACGACAGGACACCAAGAGGACAAAACAAGGAGACACACACACACACACATCGTCAGCGCGGCCAGACGACAGCTACGAGGACAAGAGGAGGACACAGCGAGCGCCAAGGGAAGACTGGAGGACAAGAAGAGGACAACAGGAGGTCACCCGGACACAGGGTTCAAGGGCGCGGCCAAAGACTCTGGCCAGCATCTGATTTCCTAAGAGAGATCCCCGACAGTGAACTGTTTGGAGAAAAAAGTGCCTATATAAATACCCACCTACCTACCTACCTACCAACCTACCTACCTACCTACCTACTTACCTACCCACGCACCCACCCACTCTAATTACCTACCTACGTACCTACCTACATACATACATTGCATTGCATTACACTACGTTACATACATAATTAACATTGTATTGTATTGCATTACATAACTTTTGTATACCAGCATGTTATATACTCACCGTTTCACGCCTGTCCATTTCCTCATTTGGCAGCGACACAGCCAGTTTCCTGCCATCAGCTGGGCCCGAGTCATGCAGCAATGTGGAATGCGCAAGCCAGCCTAACAAATCTGAAAAGTACTGCTGCAGCTAGATTAACTATATATAGTTATGTGGATCTTGTCATCTGTCTACCGTGCTCTGGGTTTCGGCTCACATGGCTGTGCCAATCCCTTAGAGCAGAAAAATCCGCGATCGGTTTTTGGGCTCCAACTTACACAAGCACACAAATAAACAAGCAACAAAAAAAACTCCCACCCCGGCGACATCTTTTGCCGTGATTCACAGCAACAACACTTGCTAAGCTATCAGTCCACGTACCACGTGTCCTGAAAATGATTGTTGGCAACCATTGAACTTCAAGCTCTCAATGCATGGAGGCTCAAATGACACAACATATCTCATTGACTCCATTCATAAGATTCACAAAACGGAAAAAGTGCTAATCTCTGAATATTCGGGAGGTGACCGCCTCCCGCTTCTGACAAACGAAACGTTTGCCGTTGCTCTCACCTTGGTTCCCCGCTCTCCACGAGCTGGCATGATATGGCAGAATGAGATCCCCACGACAAAGCTCAAAAGCTGAATCTAGTTGTAGAAGCCGGTGGTTCTTCTTTTGCCTCCAGTCATGTTATGACACTACATTAATGATTCACAATGCGTTCAAATCAGCCTCTTGATAAAGAGCTGGCACTCGAGGACATCTTCATTCTTGGCTTGGAGCGGTGGGAAGAAACCAAAAAGCCTGAAACTACAGAGCTCAAATGCTTCACAAAACAAAGTGGAACGAAGCGAAACAAACACACAAACGAGGGAGATGTGCGCCACACGCGCGAAACCCGAACCCCAATAGACCAGTTATATAGATGACAAGTATACCTTGGTCTCCAGCTGCTGCCCCCAATGTGTGGCGGTTTTGGTGGTTGGTGCAGTGGTCAACTCCACGACCTGCGAGACAACTGTCACAAAGCAATGCAAACAACGGCAACTGTGTAGCACTTACCGGGGAACATTGTCATAGGCCTGAGACCCAACAAACTTTCGAGGTGACACTATGTAACGCTGACCAGCAGCAAACCCAGAAGCTTTAAACATGTTTGGCCACAATGTGATCTGCGTGAGTGCGCAAGGCGCATGACAATCGCATCCTGTGCTTTGAACGCCTGGTCCCTGCTCTCCGGCCTCTTTCACTGGATTTTGGGTCGATCCCCGGAAGGTCACGTTGAAGTACCTAGCAGGATGAGCCAAGAATTTGGTGAACACTCACCAATTGTCAATTACTGTGGTTCCCTGCCCTGTGAACCCCTCCAGTTGGCTGTCCCTGCTGATCCTCATGAAAAGAGGTGAAACATGAAACAAATACACATGAATGACTCAATGACTAAAAATTGAACCAAAAAGAACCTCAACAGTCGGGCATGAGTTCGCCTATTTGGCCATGGCCACATCCAAAGCATCGAAAGTTCACTAGCAGGGACCGGGCCTTTGCCAAACAATGCTGTTTTGAAACACGTGGCACCGTTCAACGTGCCATGCAACATGTGTGGCTGCATGTGTGAAAGCATGACAGCGCAGCAACAGGCAAGACCCATGGAACCTGCTCCGTACCCCGCTCTGGAGCACGCCAGCATGTCAACACGACAGTCACGACAGCATGACGTGATGTCAGCACCCCAGCGTGACAAGAACCAGTGACCGGTGTCAGTGCCAGTATGACAACATGTCAGCGCGACGGCCTGAGAACACGTCGGTATGACAGCCGGAATTTAAAAAGGAAAACAAACGGAGTGACAACACCTCAGCATGTGAACGTGACGGCATGCTAGCATGTCAACAAGAACAGCACGTCAGCAGGACAGCCTGTTTGCAAGCTAGCATGGCAAAGCAGTAAACTGGTTCAACGTCGACTGCTTACGACGCGGGAGTGGCAGCCTGACAGAATGAAAATGCATGCCAGCGTGACGCCATGCCAGCAAAACGGCATTTCAGCACTATGCCATGACAACGTCAGTGTAGCAGTCAGTGTAGCAGCATGTCAGCGAGTCAGTAACACCGCTGCGCAGTGCTCCGGAACCTACTCCAGAACCTGCTCTGGAACTTGAACTTGCGTCCCGCTCCGGAGCAAAGCCAGAGCCCCGTCGGAACTTGCACTAGAACCGGCTTCGGTACCTTCTCCGGAACCTGCTCCGGTTCCTCCGAAGTCCTTGCCATGGCTGAAGACCCCTAATCTTCGCTGTTGAATCAAAGAAACATACGAGTAACAAGAAGCTACCAGGAGCAAGGGCATCGCTACTAGTAACAAGGGCATCGCTACTAGGAGCAAGCAGCTCAGCTACTACTACCTGCACTTGCGAGCCCCAAAAGAAACCTCACTCCAGCGCGTCCTCATGCAACATCTGAGTGGCTTTGCTGAGTCCTGAATTGTAGTGAAAGGGCATCGGCTATGACATCGCTCCCCAACACTAAGGCAGCTAGGCCTCTTCAATCCGCATAAAAGTATACAGTATACACCACTGATACGATTGAACTCAAAACCTCATGATCTCTAAGACTCAAAGGCCTTCAAATCCTGCAAGGTGATCGTTGAGAGGTCGATCTCAAGCACAGGGCTGCCACTGCCAGCCAATTGCTTTGGCCTCACCAACAAAATGGCAAGTAAAATCGCTGGATCTGGGATGCTGGGGAGCTGGGGCACGAACGCTAGATTGACAAACATCCCTGTTTGCAAATAATACCTGAACAACTTGCAGAATGGATCAGAACGGCAGCACACATGCATTGAATACCTCATGGGTCACTTCCTCTGTTCCTCAAGGAACTCCTCTTGCATGCATGAGAAGTCGGTCCCATAGTACTGCATCATTGTGCAGTTGAAATTGTCGAAATGCCTGGGCAAAAGGTAGTCCCCTTCTGCCCACGCACTGAGAAACTTTACAAGTGATTTCAGGATGAGACTGTCTTTCCCCATCAAAGGTCTGCTGCTTCTCCCGGCATGCTTTTGCAGACCCGACCGGCGCCAAAAACAGCGTGGCGTGCGAAGGGAACAAAGCACCTCCTGGCGACGCCAACGAAGTGAAGCGGTGAAGCCAAAAAAAATGATGAAGCTGCACAAAGGCCAAACTGCAGCTGCGCCTGGTTTCAGGAAGCGGTCCCGAGCAATCAACACACCTTGGCACTCCGCCCGGTTCCAAACCCAACACGTGCTACCGCTGCTATATTCTTAAGATGCGTTTAGTATTACAATTATTATTGGATATTATATATCATCATAATGTCTAAATTGCGACATGGTGCTGTCGAGCATGCTTTCGCGCAAAAGGAAGTAGCCCATCCATTCCTTGAATGCTCAGTTGACATGCAAAAAATACACCATCATCCATGCAACTGCCCAAAGCAAATGGCTGAGTTGGCCAGGCGGCACTGATGATGACATCAACCATCGAAGGCAAGGTTACTGTTTCCTCGGACTTTCGTCGGTCACTTTGGTCGCTTTGTCGGTATGCGTTGCGAACAATTGCAAGAAACTTTAACTATCCGGGCATCCACTGTTCCCTGCAGCACCTTGATTATGTGGCTTAGGCCTGCCCAAGAGGAAATAGAAGCAGTCTGCTATCGCTTTCTACCAATTTTCTTCAGTACGTTGAACTTCATGAATTCAGTTCAGTAGCCTTGAGCTTGGACAAGTTTTCGGCTGCGAACTGCCATGTCAGTGGCCTGGATCAGAATCCATCCAGAGTCTTATTCTTGCGGAAAAATGCGAGCTCACAAAGCATCCTTATAAAAGCCCTGTTCATGCAAAAGAAGGAAGAACATGACAGTCTTTTCGCATCAAGTAGGTGCAGGCAGCCTCGACTGCGAAGACCTCCTTGGCCCCTGCCTTCGCGGCGAACATAGACCTTGGTCACAGCACCCGGTGAGCCTAAACATTTATCCTGATGCATGCGAGAGACAGGATGCAAGTCCCAGCACCAACATCCAGCACCTAGAGCTCCAAGCGTGACACCGAATGAGGAGCACCCACTTCATGAATGGCCGAGATTCGCACGACTTTATCTTTGAAGCTTTCAGGGTTCCACCTGGGCACATGTCCAATCCTGCGCGTTTTAAAATTTTCAAAAATTTTAGGTGCAAGAAAAAGTGCTGTACGCATGGCAAAACATAGTGAGCGAAAGTTAAGCGTGCAGCGTAATGGCATTGAAATAGGCTCCAGTCCGATGTTCATCCTAGCACCCCCCAGAAGAGCATCAAGAACAAGAATACAACGCGACAACCATTTGAGCATTGGAAGGATGGGCAGTGTGACACAAGGAATGCATGCTACTAGTAGTAGTGCCCTGGTTACTAGTAGCGATGCCCTTGTAGTAGCTTCTTGTTCCTAGTAGTAAGGCCAGGAGCTACTAGTAGCGTCCTTGCCACTCACTAGCAGTATTGCCCTGGTTACTAGTTCGACTCTTGAACCGTACAATTCAGAAGCCACCGAACCACCAACGCTTTGAAATCCCCGAATGAAGGCCTCAAGCATGTCCATCTGGTGGTAGAGGAACGCGTACTCACAAAAATAGTTTGCATTGTCCTGAAGTTGCAATAGTATCGTGGTGAGCAAGCCGGCCATGTGAGGGCTCGAACTGACAAGCATCAGCATGCTGTTTTGGTGCAACTGTGAGTCAGTTTCATCAGGCGGCTTTCCATCTTTCAGGGCACCTGCGGGATTTAAGGGTGGAAACATTCAGAACGAAAAACACATCAAATGATTCAGTACCTATCCCATGCCCAGCGATGCGCCCGTCGAGCGCCATTCGAAGAGGAATGGTTGGGCAAGTTCGCAGGGTCTGCTGGTGATTAGTGAAACTGCAACATTGCAACTGAGAGTGTTGATAATTGTCGCCTCAACGTTTTTTGATGTTCTTTGTCATGTTTGAGTCGGTATGCTTCACCTGAATGCACAGTTGCTAAATCCGTAGGGCCTAGAGGTCATAATTAGACATATTCAATTTCAGTTGTTCTATGATGATACTAATGATGTCATGCAAATGGCCTGAGGCACACGTGGCTTGCATGCCCAACACAAAGCACACACCGCCGCTATTGCAAGGGCAGTCAAGCTCCGGTGGTGCATCCTGCTGCTTCTTTGCAATGCGTGGGTGGTTCGAGATCAACGAAGCCTTTTCGGCCTCCAGGCTGATTTGTACATACTACGAACATAAGGACGCTACTGGGAGCAAAGGGCATCGCTACTAGGAACAAGAAGCTACTAGGGGCTCCTGGCCTTACTACTAGGAGCAAGGACGCTACTAGGGGCTGACGAACAAAAAGGCCGCTAGGCTGATTTGTACATATATAATCTGTACATTGCTCGTCTCCCAACGCTCCGACATGCCCCGCGGTGTGCATGTTTGGGGTGGGACAACTACTTGCCTCAGAGTCCACGGGGAACTCGCCAAACACGTGCGGTACCCCTGCCCAACTGAGAAAGCCCCATGCCTCCCACTGAATGAGTGACCCCAAACGAGCCCCGCTGACCTGTCCGGATACTCCACCTCAACCTCAGCAGGGGGAACGAAATCAACTCATTATCAACTCCGGTCATTGTTGTCAATCCAAAGAATTGAGGTCGATGCCAATTCTGCAACGTGGTGAAGGTCCACCGGAATGTAGTGGGGTCGCCCTACCTCTGCTGGAGGCCTCTCAGTGACGGTCTGGCAATCCAATGTGGCAAAATTCACCACGGCCTGGGTTCGTACCGTGTTATCACTCCTCCGTCGCGCGTGTAACCTCCCGTCATGTGGAACAGGCCAAGTTCCGTCATGAAGGAACTAAATGGTACGATCAAACAATTTGCCAAAAGTCAATGTTGGTCAGTTTGCAAAGGCCTCACCACCCCACCAAGCAATGGTTTTTTGCAGCCCGGTCACCAAAAGCTCTTGGTGAATTGCGAGGAGATGGGGGATCTGAAACGGGTGCAGCTAGCGCGTCTGCCTCAACCGCTTCCATCAATCTGAGACAGTCTCCTTTGCATTTTCTGGAGCCTCACCTCCAAATCCATTCGCCTCTGTGATCTGATAAGCGCACGCACCTCTGTTCATCCGATCGCTGTTTTCGAAAGGAATGCAATTTTCATGATACATATGTAGAATATATAGGTAAACAACTTCTTCACCAGACTTTTCCTCTGCATGCGGTCGCTTCTTTTGGTGAAGAGTGTGGTCAAGGTGGCTTGACTACTTTGATGTACGGCACCCTCTGAGGATGGGACCCATGCGGCCACCGGCATGTCATAGATGGGTGTGTCGGTGTCTATGTAAGACGTTCAACCTTTTCTTTTGAACTATCCGCCATTTGTTGCATTGATTTGTCCAAGGCACATCCACCCGGCACAGTGGGCATGTTACATTGCGTGAAAGCCACGATCGGGCACACTCATCATGAAACACGTGACGGGCCGCACACGGCAACTGAATGGTATCCTGCAGCCGTGTCGTTTGAGTGCCGGCATTCGCAACACCATCCATTCATAACGAATACATGTGATGCGGTGATGCACCTTTTGCCTGCATTTACATGGCTACATCGCGTCCCTGGCTTGCAAATCCAGCTGGGTTACATCATGTCAGTCCTCTCCGGCCAACACGTCGGCTAGGCATATAGCACATTCCAACGCAAACTCACAGCGTTTGCGGACAAGCATGCCAAGATCGTCATCATTGAATCTTTCCACTGATGGCATTGACCTTTGGTCCTTGGATTGGCATATGCAAGTCGCACAAACCACTTTTCTCGCAAATATGCCCACCGTTATCTGCAGCCATGTCATCGTTCTCAGTGCCGGCAAGCTCTGCTTCCATTTCAGATCGGCGGGCATCTAAACGGTGAAAGTAATCTTCCAGGTCTTCCATGACCTGTACCGCTCTGTGATGGTCTTCGCCCCAAGCCATGCAAAATGCGCGGCACGTATGTTTTTCCAGGTTTCTCTTTGTCACCTCTGCCATGCTTATTGGTTGCCTCTTGGCCGAGTTGCATTTGCAGGGGGGGCCTGGATCCACCAATGGTGGCTCCTCAGTTTCCTTAGGCACTTTGAAAGCATCTTAAAACTGAGAAGATGTTTGAATTATATAATCGGACCGTATTTTTCATCACTGTTTGGACCGAGATTCGCTGTCTGATGTATGGATATGGTCAAATCGAGAATAATCCACCATTGCAAGCTGTTGTGCGTCATAAACTAAGACAGTAAATGGTGTTCTTATCTTGCGGGTGGTATGAAAAGTGGAAAGGGCACAAAGGACCTCCAATGCGTCAAACAAAACTGGATAACAAACCCTTCACGAAGCCAATTTGATCACATAGCCTTTTCACTTCGTAGTACTTTCACAAATCCTGCGCCACCTTGGCATGTGTCAATACGAGGTCCCAACTTGGAAGCCAAAACGGGACGCCGCAACACCGCGCTAATGGGAAGGTCTCGACAAAATTCACATCAACGTGAACTCAAACCGTGTGCCGACGGCTTTGGGTTGGGCAACTTCGAAATCAAGATGCGTCGTTGCCTCGAGCCACTTGGCAAGTACATGTACATTTCTTCATTTGGTGTCCCGCATTGCTCTTGTGCGTTTCAAATTAAACGACTTTACAATCACTGTCCTCATCATTGCCTGGCTGGTGTTGAGCCGGCATGCGGGTCCGGTCCGGCCCACCAAAGTCCCGATCCCGTCATGAATGTGTGACGCTTCAAAAATGGTTCGGTTCAACACTCTTGTTGTTCTCTATGGATGCTTCCACCAATGTGTTTTTCTTGCACGCCTTTTTGCCGCAGAAGAGCCTGGTCAAGGAAGGCCTACAAACGAACGGATGTCCATCGAACTAGTTGTCAAATCCAACACTCCTAACATCGCAGGGTGACTCCCGCATTCCCGTCGATCGTATTCCTCAATGGCCGTAGAAAATCACTGGTTTCTGCAGGAAATGCACTGCTTGCCTGCGCCTTCGACGGGCGTACGCAATAACCAGGCAAGCCCCAGATCTTAGCGAACCCTTAAGTTCTTTGCCGAGGAAAGAGCTGACAAACCCATTTTATAAACCATGTCCTCTGCCAAGGCCCATCGTATTTGTCCACACCCTCACCGGAATTTAAAAAGCTGACAAAAGCTGACCTGGTCTCAAGTGTCAAGTAATCGAAAGATCCAGCAGAGGTCGCAAATGTATGAAAGTCAGAATCACAGACTTGTCCGCACAGAGGCTTTTTGAGTCTGTCCCAAAGAGGATGAATCAGATGTTGGAAGAGCATTCCACAAAAATGGAACATTTTCGGATCTTCAAGATCAAAGCTACATGGAAATCCATTCCCAAAAAATGAACTGTGTCTGCGATTTTGTTTTAAATCAAGTTCTCTTGTATGCTGTCTCGACATTATATTCGAAGGTCGGTTTCTCATTGTATAAATCAGCAGCCTGAGGGTTTCCATGGCATAAATGACTTTTCTTTATGAAACCAAATCCTTCACTCCAGAGCCCTCCTAGACGGGTATCCTTTAAAGAAACGTTCCAAGACAAATCCTCAAGGATCCTGAGGCTTTAGAAAGGTGGATCCCGAGGCTTGAGCGATGAGAAACAATCCAAACAATTTTTCCCTGACAGAAATAACTTCTAAGCTTACAAACTAGTCAAACTAGAAACAGTTTTGTTGGCCTCCAAGCATTTCATTTGTTGCAGGGAACTTTGACATTAGACGAGATCATTGAATTTCTGTAGTGCTCAACCTTTTGTTGAGTTGTGTATCTTGAAATTATAACCACAATGTCGCCGTGATACACTTTCCATGTTGTTTTCCATTTTGTTTGGCATATGGTGTGTGGGTTTATTTTATTCTATGTCTAGATCACTCAAGACGATGAGTGCGTGTATCATTACAATAAAAACCACAAGAATTCACTTTGAACCGCAGCACCAAACCTTTCTTTTTATAAAAAACGGGTTTGGACATGTTCCAACTCCAGCACCAAACCATTTTCGAAGACAAACAACTTGGGTGTCAACCGTTTTCGATTTTGAACCTCCAGCAGCAAACTGGTTTGGAGTCCACACCTTGCACCCGACTTCGTGCAAGAGAGTGAGAGAAAAAGGGTTCAGCTTCAAGCGGAGACCGTTGTAGGATACGGATACGTATGGATCACAGGAACTCATTTCAAGCAGACAGTTGACAAAAACACGTCAGGCACACAGGAAATAATTGTGTTTTATAGACCTTACAAGAGGTTGGCCACATGAATATTATTGTTTTGCGGCATTTCTGTGAAAACGTCTGGTACAGTGAACTTTTTTCAAATGCTGTCTACAAAAAACCCGTTGCTCAGATATATTTTAATTTTGAAACCATGCTTGGAGGCGTTGGCTCGCGCCGCTTTATTTTGATAAAATTCCATACTAGACCCTTTTGGCAGGGATTGGGTGTCGACAAATACGATGGGCCTTGGCGGGGGAATGTGTTTGGGTTTGTCAGTTTTTTTCCTGGGAGGGTGTGGACAAATACGATGGGCCCTGGCAAGGGGGGGGCGTTGGCAGGGGAAATTGTTTATAAAATGGGTTCAGGGTGAGGTTTATAAAATCAGGTGTTCCAACCTCTGCGTTTTGGGTCGTTCTTTTTTCCACTGTGGTTGGCTCCATTACAACGCTGGCTCTACAGAGCGTGGGACGCTACGCGGGTGTGTGTTTTATGCTATTTTTTGATGTTTTTAGCAAAAGATTTATGTTTTTCATAATGTGGAAAACCAGGTGGTAGCAAACGAAGTCCACCACCAAACGACCAAGTCGCGCGACGCGCGCGAGAGACAAGT